CAAACTCCATCTCTGAGTATCTTCAACATCTGGAAGAGATGCTGCATTTTTAATGACATTTATCCTCTATGTTTAATGTAGTAGAAGTACTTAAATTCCCAATATTTGTCTCTGTACTTCCCTGGTGATGAGAACAGCAGGGGAGGAAGCTGGCCCACTTGCACTAGGTGAGAGTATCTGTCTCAGTGGGAGAGCATTGCTACCTGGCTTTCTGTGGGTGGTACTCCACCAGAGCGGCATGAGAAACATGAAGTTGATAACTGTGTTTAACCAAACCAGCAAGGCTGGCTACTAATGTTTCATCATTTGTCACTAGCAGCTGACATACTTGAACAGCATAGGTGTTTTTTCCATGTATCAGGCAAACAAAGGCAACCAAAGTTTTTCCTCTAAAGAGACAGAAAAAGTCACACAGTGGGGACATTAACTAGGGCATCATGCCTCTCCACGATAACATGAGTGATTATTGCAGAAGTAAGGTAAATCTGGATATATTTTATTATTCATCCCTCTTAAAGGAAAGGGAGAAACCAATTTTAGCTTTTTTAGATTTCACACATTTTCCAAATATTTTTTAGCTTCACCTCCAAAATTTTCATGTTTTTCTCCTCCCTCACTTTTTCTAAATTGCGACTCAAACTCTCAGAATACAGGGGAAAAAAGACCATTCCTGGAGAGTTTTTAGCATGACTGATCTTACAAGGACAACATACAGGTATTCTGCTTTATGATAGTCATCCCAAATGCTCCAGTGTATGACAGAATCTGTAGGATGACACTACAACATGGTCATGCAGCAAATCTCCTGGAAGGTCTGTTCCAAGCAGATTTCTCAAACTCAAATGATTCTTGTCTGTATTTAACATATGTGTGTTTTACAGATACACTCCCAATAATTGCACTGTATGCTTGTGATATTGCATTGGTTTTAGTGATTAGAATGCTAAATTCAGGAAATGATAGCCATTATTGGCACTTTTGTTAATTGAACAAAACCTCTGATGTTTTCCAAGTTTGCATAAACCTGATGTCGTCCCATTATGAGCTCATTCTCAGATTAAACACAGTTCATGACACTTTAATGTGTTAACTCTGCTTCATGATATTTCCTACCAGTGTTTAATTTCTTCTTTAATAGACCAGAGACTCCATGTCCACACAAATCTTTAATAAAAAGAGTTTTCAAATTCTAAAGACACTACCTTGACCTTTACTGAAATCAAAAGTACAGAGAAAATTAGGATATTCATTCCAAAAAGTCCTTTTTAAAGTGAAATTTCCCCCAATAGAAGGTCAAACTTTATTATCTATAAAATTAATACTGTGTCCATAAAATTTGCTCTTAGACATTGTTTCAATTATGTTTGGGAAGGTACAGGAACTGTTTAGATTGGAAATAACATAATTCATACTTAACTACCTTTCTCTACAGTTAATTTGATAATGTTGAAAAATAATATCATAAAGTTAAAAAAGAATATCATAAATAACTAAATTATTTCCTGCAGTGGAATGACTCAATTTTCTATGGTCCATTCATGATTACTGTCCTACTGGCAAAGAACAGTTTTGTGATTTACTGAAAAAAGATAAGATGGATTTATATAAAGAACCACCAAGCATGAAGCTCCTGGTTTTACTTCTGACAGAAATCTTCACCATTTTACAAATAAGAAAAATGCCCTGTCACTTGTCCCCTGCACTGAAGCGTAATAACAAGAAGCCAGTGCCTGCTGAATCCAATGACAGATTCTCTATTGACATCAGTGAAAGGGTATGAAAAAAGTATCACTGTGAGGTTTGTTTTCAGCTGTTTCCACTCTTCCCCCAAGATAGCATACGAATGTAAGGTCATTTTAAAAAGAGGTGGTCGTGGAATATGATGGGACGGCAGTAACTTTTTTGTAATTATATAAACTCTATATGCTATGAATACTTATAGAAAATAATATGTTTATTTACTGTTCTAGTGTACGACTAAGGTCCTTTAGCATGGTCTAAGGACCGAGGTTTTATTTCATTTTAGAACCTCGCCTTATTATAAATACTGTTAAAAATTAGCACACAACTCACAAACAGCCTTTCACAGTAAGCATCATGTTCGCAATCCCTTATACTGACAATTAACAATGTTAACACTGCTGAAACTCCTAGTAGTGCTGCCAGAAACTGAACTTGAGGGCAGATGGATTAGGCGTTGTTGATGTGGCCACACGGACGTGCAGACCTCTAACTGAGCTGGCTTGTCTAGGAACCAGCGTGGTGCTGGGCCTGGACCGAGGTGCTCTGTGTTACACTTGGAGCTGCGCTGGGTACCAGTTCGCACTGCTGGACTGTGCAGTGGGCATCACCTGAGCTCTGCTGTGTTCCCCCGTTAAGAAAAGGGAAGTCTATGGCAGCTCAGACTTCCTCAGTGCATGTGCCAAAACATCTCGGATTTGACTTAGAGATAAGATGATAGGCCAAAGGAAATAACAGCCTACGGTGAATGCTTTTGAAAAAAGTATCTCTGATTAAGTATGGGGTTTTTTTCTCTCCTCCCTTTTCGCCCCAAGTCTGTTAGCCCAAGCAAATGACTTGCTCTATTGGAAATGCCTATGAATTTTCAATTTCCCACCCTATCTCATTTGGCAATTCTTAATCCTGCCTCTGGCTGCCCTCTCACATAAAAGTCCTAACCATATTCACTGGTATTAGATAGGCTACACTTACTAACCTGAAGGAAGAGATGGCTTTTACTTGGCAGTTTGTGGACAATGCTGTTTTAAAGAGAATGCATACAGTTATGTTCAATCTGATTTTTTTTTCCTTTTAAGTTAACCTTCTTTTAAAGGTCTAAAAGAATTCTGTATTCATTTCATATTACCCTACCACAATTTGGCTTGTCATCTAATGTGATATCCCTTTTCAAGATGGACATTAGCAATGAGGGCTAGAAAAATGAAGTGCATTTCACAGCTTTGTTAGTTAGCATTATCAGTGGCCTGGAAATAAGTTGGGGAACATCTTCCAGGGACATTATCAGTCCCAGTCATAACCACAGGGGACAAGGCAGACTCCCAGACCTACCTGTTGAAATCAATTATAAAACTCCCTTGGCTGCTTTAGCCACAGAGCCTAGACTGGCAGCACGCATGTGCAAAGGCGGCATTGATCGCTCTGCGAACGGAAGCAATCAAACCGCAAGTGGACAGTGTGTGAACTGAAGCTCCTCTGTCTTGTTGCAGGCCTGCCCAAAGCAAAGCGCTGCTCCCCAGCACTGCTCCTCTCAACTCCCACAAATTCCACTCTTACATATTTATACAGACCAGCAGATAATTTTTCCAGTTACCAACCTGCCTCTAAGTTTAATGTGTTTCAGAAGCTGCTTGGTAACTAATCCAGGGGTGATACAGACCACAAGGTTAATATCAGCTATTTAGGTTCTGCTATTTATTGACACTTCCACATGTGGCTGAGCTGCGTACAGTGAAGTGGTACAATACTCCTGAATGATCATTATTAACACCTTAGCATGCCAGTACTAAATGCACACATGTGGCTTCTAATTACTTCATTCAAAGAAGTCAATAATGTTGGAGTAGATCAGCTCCCGTGCTAACGGTACCGCAGAATTACAAATAAACACAAGAACAGCCGCTTGAATTAGATGCTGACTCAGTACCTCAACTGAACAGGATTCCTTTTCTCTAACCCGTGTTAAATATCTTCTCTTGCTCTGCTGTTCAGTGCACAGACACCTTTCCCTTCTCTCGTTTTTCCAGAATGGAAAAAATTCTGGGAATTAAGAGGGGTCACCTAGCAGTGAGGTTCTTGGCTTAGAATAGATGAGCAATGCGTGTTACTGCCCTAAGCGCAACATAAAGGTATACCCAAAAATCCACTTTCATTCAGACTGGTTTCTACAGTTGGAAATATTCAGCTTCTTGTTTTATCTATTCTCTTTGAGGATATTTGACTCTACCTTTAAAACATATGCAACTTTGTCCTTTCGATAATCCCTCAATAATATTATCCCGACTTTTTACTTTCATTGTAAGATGACATTTCCCAGCGTACCAGATTTTAAGATGCATTTTAAAAATCTTTATCCAATAGCAAGTAAAAGACAGAAATAAGTTTAGTGCTACATTTTTCCATGGAAATTTCCTAAGAAAAATATGTATATGAATATATAAGCAAATCATCATCTCAGCAGAATTTTTTTTCTTTTATACTTAAGGCGATATCTCTTTTTCCTGTCAGGCCCTGCAAATGTTCCCTGAGTCATGTGGTTACAAAAATGCAGAATTACCCTCCTAAAAAGAACATTTTACGATTCATCACCAGGACTAAACCAGCTGCAGCTGTGAAAAAGCGTTAGCATATTAGCTGTTATATTACAGACAAATCTTTTATTTATTTTGTGCCGTTAGCTCTGGAGATTTGGAATGTTCAGGATTTTCTCTTTCTTTCTCTGCTCCAAAGTCACTCACTGAATTTTCACTAGGTAGTTTAATTTTGATTATATTTGACAGAAGGAACTTTAATCCACAGAATATGTAAAAAATATTGCATTTTAACAAGGGGTTTTACTTATGTTTTTATTGTCATTGTATTGAATAGAACAGAATTCAGCATACCAGGGATGAGTTGTTATTGGTATTTAGGTGCCTTAGGCTTACTAACTGCTCAAATATTATGAAGAAATTAACTCTGATAAAGATGATTTATTACTTTCCAAGAATGTTCATAGACTATTTGCATCTAGCATTAAGATCTCAGTGTAGGAATAAATGTGTGAGACGTAACCTTAAATCAAAGCTGTTCTAAGTTTGAAGTTTCAAGTTAATTCCTCTGTTTTCTGTTTGTCACGATGATCTCGAATACCTTTTGGTGGCCACCTAGCAAAGTGCTAAAGAGTATGCTTAACTTTACATGTGCACCTTTCTGAACAGAAAATTTCAAGCAGGAAAAAAAGTCATATACTTAAATGAATATGATCCAGAATAGTTACTCACCACTGTCTATTGCCAGAAAGAGAGCTGTGTATATGTTATTCTGAACATGAGGAGATTCCCGATCCAGGATAGCAGTGGTGCCAATGGTACCATTGGTAGGGTTAATTTCTAGCCAGCCTGCTGGATCCTTGTAAACCGAATACCTAAATAAAAATATAGAAGTTGTTAATAAATTATATATCTAGACATAAAAAAAATTACATTACTACAAAAGAAGATGTCTTTGCACTCACTGGCTTTCATGGGGTGGATCTCTTAACACTTAAAAAATACAATTTAAACCTTGTGCCTTGCCTTTGAGACAGTTCATTATTCTTAGGCTTATCTGACATATGGAGATATAGAGAGAGGTTTGAGTCAATGTCTTTGGATACATATGTCCCAAAGACTAGTACAGGAATCAATATTTAAAACATTATGTAGGACCTGTTTCCTACTGCCGTGTTACACAGCCAGAGTCCCTGAACACTTTCAATGGACCTCTGCATCAACACTGGTATTTCAGACTTCATGAATGCTCTCACAGTCCTCTTTTTTCCAGACTCAAAATTCTGGCTGGACTAGGAGTTATATTTTTAATTTATTTTTTGAGTGGTTTTCATTTTTTTTTTACAATTAGCTAATTTGGGTGAGACTGGAAATGTAATAAATTGTGGGGTATGGTAGCAAAAAGAGAGTTAGACTATGGATTCATTAGGTCTAACATGTTGGACCTGGTCATAGGCAGACTCAGTTTGGATACATTTGTTCTGCAGTCTGTGGTCTGTAGTTTTCTGCTTCTGATGGTTTCAAATAGATGCTCAGAACCTTGGAACGATTCAACCACATACCTGTTGTCTAAAGAAGGGTTTGAAAATACTGTCTGTCAAGATCCCTCAATACAAAATTCACTGTTGTGCTTTCTTTGCATTAATCGGCACAAATATTTAGACCCTGATACTGAAAATATTTAGACAGATTGTGGAGTTTATGTACTAAGAACTGCCCTGCTTGACTGAAGTAACAAACATAAGAATGTTCATGATTAGAGCCTAATTCTGTATTCAGTTAAATACATTAAGTAATATAACAACACAGAGCTGAATTAACTGGTACCAATTCCATCTCCAATGAAATGTGTTAATATTTTAAATCAAAACTCCAATCATATAATCAATACTTAGCATAATAACCTGTTTATCTTCTTTTGTAGTGAATTGTTATAGGTCATAAACAGCCATACAATCTTCTATAGACATTTTAAATTATAAGTAATTGACATGAAACCTGCTATTGTTTAATGAGTATGTGCCTAGCCAGTGCCTCACAGTGGCATTCATCTGCAAGGTGTCCTATGTGATAATGCTGCCAAAAATAATTTATCAGTGAAACTATTTCCTGAGGGAATAATGGGTGTGGGTGTAAAAAAAGTAAGTAAAACAAAATAAAATGGCAGTTGCTAGAAGAGGAAAGAATAAATTGCAGACCAACAAAGAAAGATATGGTCTCATTGAATGCCTATTTCAGAGGCTTGCTTTGGTCTCTTGTGCCCTCTGGAAAGCGGAAAAATAAGTTGTGATTAGTTGCTAGATCCCTCTAGCAGACTGTTAAGGGATGTCCATCATCATAGCTAACAACGAGGGGGCAACGTGTGGCTGTCCTATCCAGCTGCCCCTGACGCCCCAGTCCTCATTTCAGACCTCTCAGTCCTGTAGAGCTTGAGCTTTTACACTGTCCAGTTATTTTGATCAGTCAGAGTTTGAGAACTTTGGATTTTTGCTGGGATATCAGAAAACGTATGCAGAGCCACAGCTCTGAGCTGTCAGATGCCCGAGATGGCCATTAGCATCATTCATTATCATGCAGCAAATTTTACTGTGTTTGAGCAGTAGGTCTGATCATTGGCCAAAGGTAAATGAAAAAAAAAAGCAAATGACTTGGTGCATGGCTCAAACTTAAATTCTGTCGTTAAGACGGCACTGTAAAAGACTATTGACTGAACAAGAATGGATCTCTTCTGTCCTTCATCCCAGGAACTTCCCCTCCAACATTTGAAATAATGCCATGGGAAGGTGTCATTAAGCAAAGATGGTTTTTTTTCTTCCCATATAAGTTAGGAAAGATTAGAACGGATTTGACTTATAATAGCCTTTGAATAATACATTTTGGGCACGGACACCATACTATTTAGCAGGAAGAAAACG